TCTAACAGCTTGGAGAGCCACGGGTTTGACACAGCCGATATGTGAGAATCACCGGAAGCCAGGAAAGTTTCGTGTAGTTAAAGACATGCTGAAAAAGTCTTATGGGCGGCCGTATTTTACGTGTGCAAGTCGGGAGAATCCTTGTTCCTTATGGATGTGGGCAGACGAGAAAGAAATCGAGAAACCCAACTGCTATCACAACGAACTGTGTGCCGTGAAGCGAGTCAAGAACAAGGTCCCAATACGGGTAAAAGGTTCTTCTGTTGCTGCAACGAAAACCGGTGTGATTATTTTTAATGGTGTCCTGAGGAATTGCCAAAACAGCCTGATGCCATGGCATCTTTCGTACCGTTGTTTTACAATCGTTATTATTCAGATAACATAACAGAACTTCTGAAAGCGTTTCCAAACCTTTTGCGTATAGACCTTCGCAAGAACCCGGAGCTCGAATGCAGGGCCATTAGGAATTTAAGGATACGTACTAGGAGTGACTGTAAGTTTGTATCATTTGTTACATTGCATACATGATCTGACACTTATCGCGGCTTATAGTACTGTTTAACTGTTTCTCTTTATTAGGTATACTAGACATGGTATTGAATGTTACGTCAGAGTCCACAGGCAGTTCCACCCCAAACCACAGATCTTACCACCTCTCAGATTTTACCCTGAACCGCACCCCCCACCGGTTCCTTAACTCTAACCCTGACCCCAATTCCGACACTCAGCGGAACCCTAATTTTACCCCTAACTTTAACCCCAGTACCCACCGTAATTATAATTCCAACTTCACCCGGGACCCCAGCCCCAACCCAGACCGGAACCCAGCCGCCGCCCCAAATCCTAACCCCGACCGCAGCAGTACCGCAAATTACACCCACCTATACCTCAGCCACGATCTTAACCCCAAGTACAGCATTACCCCGGAACTCGACCGCATTCCCACCCAGAATCCTTATCCCTACCCGGAATCGTTACCCTTACCGGAACCTTGCCGCTGACCCCGCCCTGGACCCCATCCAGGACCACAGCCACAATCCTGACTGGGACCCCATCCCGGACCACAGCCGCAACCCCGACCAGGACCTTTACCCCAACTGCAGCATTACCCCGGAACTTGACCACATTCCCAACCGGAATCCTTACCCCTACCGGAACCTTGCCGCCCACCCCGCCCCAGACCCCATCCCGGACCACAGCCGCAACCCCGGACGATAAATGCTGGGAATTCTATTGGCAACTTTATGATGCAAAGACTCAAATGAAGGCTTTCAACTTGTACAGATGACAAAAAAAGTTTTATACATTTCTCTTGAGTTCCACGACTCAAAGCAATTAAATTTAATACAGAATAATGTGAATGTGATTATAAATGTGTTGTAAGCATGTTTGCTTGACTCGGCGTTCGTTAATTATAATTGCTGGCTGCTGTTAATTTTAAACATGAGAAGCCATTGAGCTAAATTTGTAAGCAAATTGATTTGTGGACACAACTGCATGTATTCTCTTATGATTTCATCAATTATGGGAGAATACGCTTTTCCAAATGTGACAAAAATATCAAGTCGTTAGTGTTTTATATCCAGTTTTCGTGTTCCATATCCAGTCTTTGTGTTCTATATCAAGTTCTTCATGTTATATGTCAAGTTGTTAGCCTTGTCAATTGCTATATATATAGTAGTTTCCACTAAAACTATATCAAACCTTGTCGTTGTGACCATCTTGCAAGAAGATGAAAACATGTAGTACCTAACCATAGCCTATCAAAGGGAACATGGCTGTGAAACTAATTAAAATAACAATATAACTCATCTATGTTAGTCAACGTTTATTCATAACTCTGGTTGTTTCACCGTCACATGTGTATTGTATTTTTACCAAATCCACTAATAGTATTTGGGAATGCTGTTAATTGAAGGTTTGGGCAAAAGAGTGACTTCCTTTAATGTTGGTGGTTACACTCATCTACGTGATGACGATTTTGCACCTTTACCCCAACCTCTAGAGGCCTTTGGATAGGTGGTTGTACGGCCATGAAGATACAGTTCTCTCTTGCCGTGCATTTCTGCCTGTATACCCATAGTTCTGCGGATTAATCAGCTGAGCTACCACAGATGCCAGAGCTAAACGTCTGTGTAATAGCTGGTGGGGGACACACTGCTGTCCGTGAAATGTTAAATCTCTTATGGACTTCTTGTGTCTGTGGATCTTGAACCGAAGCTTGCGTCTCTATTCTGATGGTCTGATGGAGGGCCATTATTATACGATTGTACAATCCGTTAAACAATGTTTTCAATATTGCTAACACTTTCCATTTTATACTGAAAGTCGAGAGTCCTGAGACACAAGTAAAATTTGCAAATATGGTGTGAACACTGAAGGCTGCAATCGGCAATGCTTCCACTATTAAATTTTAAAATGAGATTTGTTTCAAAATTTCCTTAGATTTCCTTGATAGAAAACTTTAATTACATATATTCTATAATATTATTGCACTGTTTAAATTGTTAGAAACACTACCAAATGAAGCAATTTTGTATTGGCACGCAAACTCGAGAAGCGAATCCACCCACAGAAAGTGTGTACATATGTATGTGTACATTTGTCTGTGTACATTTGTAACAATTTAATGCATGAGTCAATGTAAACCCCGATGCCTGTGAGCAGAGCCTTGATATCAAGTCTTCAATCCTTTTCACGTTTTTCTTCGTAAATCATAACAATATTTGGCAACATTGAACATGTCTGCATCATTCTGTCATGATATTTAAACGGTCAATATAAACTTATTACTAATAAGTGAACATTGTCAACACCGTATACTAATAATTGGCTAAAACCTGCAAAAAATAATTTTCTAATGTAAATAATTGTCTTTTATTTGTGAGGAAATTATCATTTTTTATATTTTTCATCATGGCAGAAAGTACAGAACGAGAGCTTTGCAGAAACTTAGAGCAACTACCGGCAATCAGAAATCCAAATTTATTCTATATTTTGAATGAAGCTGCATTGCTATAACTCAGTCAAGGAAACTGGCACGAGTCATAACATCAAAATCAGTTGTCAAGAATAAAACACCAACTTGTGATAAACAACTGCTGAAAAATTGACTGGCTCATTACTATCCCTACCCAATCCCCATACCCTGGGGATAAATAAATTCTAAAAGCATCGAATCTGCCACCCTCTTGGAAGTGTTTTCTGATCTAAATCCCTGCCAATACCGTATGAACCCCCACCAATACCGTATGAACCCCCACCCTGGCCAGGGTGGGGGTGGGGGGAGGGCTTTTGGGGTTTACATTCACTCATGCATAAATTTGTCAGATGATGCATGCAAATGCTTTCTTAATAGCAAAATTGTTAACATTATTATTATTATTATTCTACCTCTATTGTGACTTCCATACCGTAGGGGTTACTGAGAAATATCAAACACCGTTTTTAAAAGTGAGTAAAGGGGTGCTGCAAGGAGATTGTTTAAGCCCATTGT